TGAGTGAATATGACTGTAAAGTTGAGGAATAATGTTAACAAATCATTTATTATGCTACTTTGCAGCCACCACAGTTTTATTTGCTGGCAAATTAACCTCTGTAGATCTGTGATATTTTTTTAATCTATCAAAGACAGAATGTAAAGTAAATGTTATTTTTTTAGATAGACACTGCTGAGTGCTTTTTAAAAAATAAAATCATTTAAATGAGAACTCTATATGTTAACCTCTTTTTTTTTAGTTTCCACTTAAAGGTTGGGTTCACTTCATTCTAATAATGCGATTGTGTCTGCACTATAAGAACTGAGACTGGTTTACTTTTGATCCTTTAGGCATGTCACACTCATAATTTTTACTTGCACAAAACATTTGTAAAAAATATTTAAGCCACTAACTATACACTGTAAAACAGGCTTTTGCACAGTCACTAAACACCTCCTCTAGCTTTTACTTGGGAAACAAATGAGTAAGACTTTGATTTGATTGGCTAAGCAGTGAAGTCTCGAGGGCTAAGATCCACCTTTTACCAGTAGGTGAGCCAATGAGGTGCCACCAAACAAATGCATGCAGAAGGTGCATTATTATTCCATTATATATAATTGCTAATGCCATTCATATTTTCAACTTCACCCAACAAAGAGGATGGCGAACACAGGTGAGTCTTTAAGCCCACTCTGCAACTTTGTTAACCAGGTTAACAAACTATAAAATATTTATTGCTGTCTGAATTGAAGCACGTCTAATTTAATGGGTAACCAATTTGTAAAATAACAATTCGAAACTACAGTAGCTTAAGAAGAAGTAATAGAGTGCTTTCATAAAAATCTGAATTATATATTTTTGTAAACTTAAACTTGTTTTGGGGTCCTTCTGTTGAACTGTTTCATTTTCCCACATTTATTTCTCTTACTACTAAATATTTACATGAAGAAACCTCACTTTGTAGGATAAGAATGACTCAGCAAACAATAAATAGCTCAAACTGGAAGCTTTTAAGTCTCCCTAAGGACTTGATTGTTTTTTCTTACTCGGTTATTCGAGTAAGAAAAAACAATCAGGTTTAATAACCGCTGATAATTATCTGCATATTTTCACTGGCAGTCAGGACAGTGTACCTTTACTCCTATTTTACAGGCTCATATTCATCACACTATATGATAAGAACAAGTCAACATGCGAGTGAAATTATCTTGTAAGGAATATAGCATGAAAGGGGAGCTAAATGTCAGGTTCTTTTTCAGGCCATCTTCTACTTAAACTAAAAGCCAAATTGAGAAACGAATTATTTTAATAGCTGAACTCAACACTCTGTTTACCTTACGGTGTTTAAATAACTAGGACGATTTACATCAGCCACTTTAATAAGTACACCTTGATAGCAAGACCCCCTTTTAGCTTCAGAACTTTCTCAGTTCTTCTTGGTATCGATTCCAGTAGCTGCTATAAATAAGCTTTAGAGAATTTGGACCATGCTGAAATGACTCTTCTATTATTTAATTTTTGGTGAGCCTTGTATGCCGTGTGACAGGTTAATTAAATTTTTGAGATGATGAACAGCTGAGCAGGTGTACCTAACAAAGTGGCTGGGTCATGTACATGTATTTGAATATTATTGCTAGATTGTTGCGGCACTAACAATGAAGCAAAGATACTCTCTGGATCACTACATTACACATGCCAAATGACATGTAGCCACAGTGCAGTTTGCATTAGTACATCCTTCCTTATCAGCGTGTTTGCATGTACCTTTGTACAAGTAAAGCAGGTGTCATATTTCATCTAACCTTTCACGTGAACAGTAATTAGTTTCCTTTGGCAATGATCATCAATAATGCATTTTTGTGTCAGGATGATTTGTCACTTAAAACCTGTATCTAAAAAAGAAAGTGGTGTAGTTTTAATTAATTTAATGAAACGTTTTTTCTGCCATGTTCAAGGTACCAAGGATATTTCCTATGAGGAACTGAAGGCTCTTGTGGGAAAGAGCCCAAATCTCATTCTGATTGATGTCCGCAGTGAAGAGGAGGTAGCAAAAGGACATATTCCAGGATGCACCAATATCCCACGTGAGATTGTTTTTCAAGTTCTGTACGTTTTCTCTAAGTTTTCATTTGCATATTCATGTTTTATACCTTCGTCTCTTCTTTGATTCCTTCAGTTGATACAGTGGAGACTGCTTTTGCAATGAATCCAGAGGAATTCAAGGCCAAGTATGGCATAAAGAAGCCACAGCTGGATGCACCAGAGCTGGTGTTTTCCTGCCAGACGGGCAGGCGATCAGGACTGGCCATCGGCAAAGTCCAACAGCTGGGATATGTGACGTAAATAATTTATTGCTTATAATACACAATACACACACATACATGGACAAGGCCCATTAAAAAAACTCCAAGTCTTCTTCATTAACACAAAGGCAATAAGTCCTTAAGACTGTAGAGAGCCATCTTTGGTTGTTGTTGTTGTTGTTGTTTTTAAAAATGTGCAGCATTCTACTGCATGTTTATGATGTAATAATAACAGCTTTTATATTCTGACATCTTTCATCTCTGTTCTCTATTTCAGCGCATGCAATTATACTGGTGGATACAGCGAGTGGTCTAAGAAAGAAGGAAAGTGATTCACGCTAAAGGAGAGTTTCATATGTCTTCATCCAATCAGCAACTGTGAAATTTAGATGTTTTAATCTTCTGGTGATTTTTTTCACACTGTGCAATATTGAATTTTATATTTATGAATAATTACAAAGAAATTAAATTATTACATTTACTTGGAAAGAATTGTGTTGTGTTTGTTCATTTTTAAGGATGAAAAATATTGCAAGATCCCAAAAGATATAATAAATACATGCTTAATGATGTCTTTGCAAACAGAGGTGCACATAATGAGCCTGATAAACACCACAAAATTACAGCTGTACAGTACAAAGTACCAGTGGTAGAGTGACTTTTATTGCATCATTAATAATTATTTATCAGCATAAAATTAAGAGCTTTGCTAACATTATCAGAGAAAAGCGCCTTGAAAGGTTTTTGCCACCTTTCTGATTTTTAGTTTTATGCCTCTTTGTCACACTTAAATGTTTCAGATCTGCAAAAACATTTTAACATCAGGCAAAAATAACACTAAAACTAGAACTAAATACACAATACAGCTTTTAAAAGATTTCAATTATTATGGGAAAAAATATCCAAACCAAGAAGGCCCCATGTGAAGAAGCCATTGTCAGCTCTTTGTTAAATCATGAATTAACTGTGGTTAGCCACATCTTTTTGAAAAGCTGAGTTCGATTTCACTATCTACGCTATCTACACTTGGCGTGATTACTGCGAGACCTGTTGAATCAAGAAATCACTCTGTTTGACAAAGTGAAGCAGGTGAAAAGACAACAAAAAGCAACACATCATGCCATGATCTGAAACTGTTCAGACTACTTCCATCAGGAAGGAGGTTCTGCAGCATCCGGTCCCGTACCAGCAGACTGAGAGACAGCTTTTTCCATCAGGCCATCAGACTGCTGAACACTTCATAGACACCTCAGCTTCACTACTGGAACTTTAACATTATGCACTCCATACTGTACAGTAACGCCACTGTTTTGCACATGTCTCACTCTGTATATTTTATTTTATATATTTTATTTATTGTTTACTCTATTTAATTTGCAAAATATGTGTACACACACACACACACACACACACACGTAGAAAAATATTTAGTATACACATCCAGAAATGCATATACTATTATATATTGTACATATATTTATTAGTTTCAGATGTAGCCATTCTTGTATTTTGCTTGTTTACATTATTGTATTTTGCACAACTCTGTTGCTTGTGAAGCTCGCACACAAGAATTTCACTCACATGTGCTGTACCAATGTACCTGCACATGTGATGTGACAATAAAAGTGATTTGATTTGATTTGAAAAGACTCAAGAACAGATGATAAACAAGGTCATTCACATCGATCAGTCAGTCTAAGGCTTTAAGACTCTAGTGAACCACACTCATGAACCCAGCCTACCAAAATGACTTGAAGAGTGCATCGATGACTCATGGAGGAGGTCACAAAAGAACCCAGAACAATATCTAAAGAACTGCAAAACATTGGGGAAAATAATCTGTTGACTGATAAGACAAATGTTTAACTCTTTGAAGGCTTTCAGTCCCATTACGTCTGTCCTAAAACTAACAAACGCAGGATTGCATAAAAAAGAACATAAAACAAACCCTCCAATTTGACTGTGGTAAAATAATTCTGCAAAGAAGAGTAGCCAAAAACTCCTCCCCGGTGATGTGAAAGACTCATTTCCAGTTACTTAATTTTTCTTGCTGCCAAGGACAGAACAACCACTGAACAGATTTATACTGCACTTATCTTTTTTCACACAGAGCCAGATGGATTTGGATAGCTTTTATCATATATGAAATAATAATTTAAACAGTGTGGTGTATTACTCAGGTTATCTTTTGTTATTACTAGTATTTGATTGATGATCTGAAACAGTTAAGTGTAACAAATGTAGGGGAAAAAACTGAGAAATTACAAAGGAGGCGAGTACTTGTCACTGTATATGAACAGTTTTTTATGAAAAATAAAAATAAATAAATTACTTTCTTATGATCTAATATGCCTAAATATATAGACATTTTTACAATCAAATGTAAATGTTCCAAAACATACTTTTTAAACTACTGCCTATTATATGCTTAGATATAAATTAATTAAACTAAATTAAATCCATTAAAACTAAATAGTAAGTTAAAAAACAGTTAGCAATACAATACATACCAATAAAAACCATGTTCAAAACTGGGTAAAAAATATTATTATTATTATTATTATTATTATTATTATTATTATTATTATTATTATTATTACAATGAATATGATGATGATGTCAAATATTTTAAACAACTAATAAATAATAAATAATTTTCAAATTACATACAGATGCTTTCCTGGATTGGTATGGTATGAGTCAACAGCCTAATTACGGGAACAAAGTTCTGATCCCATATTAAATTAGCTTAGGTTGCTGATTTAGCACAAAGACAACAACTGAAAATGCTGAAAGAAATGCAACAGGTAATTGTTTAAGTTATAGCTATTCCTGATTCATGGTAGAAAAGAAAATGGATAAAAAGGTTTAGAGATTAATAAAGATGAAAATTACTAGCAAATTAGCAAATTACTAGCTAACGCTAACTAGCAAGTAGCGTTAGCATGCTAAGCTAGGAGTTTGTTTTTTCAAATGGCCTCTCCAGGTGCTGCGTTTGATCATGCTAATGGGAAAGCAAAGGCAAAAGCTGGGCTTAAGGACAGGAGGAGGGCTTTTGTTGCTTTTGTGGACTGACACCGAAGTTTCTACACAAAAGCTGAACTGCACTGGTGAGTCAAAGCAGCTGAGACTGCACCAAATAAAAGAGGCATAACAGGGAGACAAATGAGGATTAAGGTAGGGTTTGATCAAATATTAAAATGACAATGTCCTTGGATAAAAGGGGTTATTTTTTTATATTTACACACCATGTATTAGAAAAATGCAGTATTTTGATATCTACAGGTCATTTTATCAGGGACACTTAATTCAACTTCTTATTGATGCAAATGTCTGATGGCAATCAAATAGCAGCAGTTGAATTTATTTAGGTAAGTAAACATGGTCACGATGACTATGCTGAAGTTCAAGATGAGCCTCAGGATAAAGAATGAGTTGGTATGATTGTTGATGCCGGCGGGGCGGGTCTGAGTATTTCTGCTGAACTGCTGGTATTTTCCCACACAGTCATCTCTATGGTTTACTGAAAACGGTCCAAAAAAAGGAAAATATGAGGTGAGTGGCAGTTGTCTTGCCCAACCTTGAAGCAGATGGGCTACAGCCACAGTAGACCACACAGGGTGCCAGCTAAGAACAAGAAATTGAGGCTACAAATCACACAGGCTTACTAAAATTAGAAGTAGAAGATTGGAAAAGATGCCTGGTCTGATGAGTCACAGTTTATCCTGCAATACTTGGGTGTTATGGTCACAATTTAGTGTAAACAGCATGAAAGCATAAATCCATCCGGTCTTGTATCATCAGTTCAGGCTGCTGGTGGTTCATTTTTTGTGGGGGGATATTTTCTTGGCACGCTTTGGGATCCTTATTGCCTATCCGGTTGTTCAGTGATGACGCGACGAATCCTACTTCCGGGTCTAAAGTAGTCTGCGTTTAATATGGCTTTTGTGTTGTTAACATGTTTAATGTTATGTATTTTCTTCTATTTGATCTCAAAAAGCTCCTAAAACAGTCAGTGATCACTGCTGACCTACCTAAAAAGTTGTGCAAATATGTACCCATAACTTGTTTTTCAAAATATTAATAAAAGGGGTGTGTCTCCAAACAGCCATCTCTTTCCTGACAATTCCCTTTGTGCATATTCTCTTACATATGATAAGTCAACATTGAAACACCTGCGGCCTTTAGTCAGGTGCGGCTAATGTATGTACAAAACAGGATTTCCCCTGATTTTAGCTTGTGCGGCTAATATTCAGGTGCGCTTTGTAGTCCGGGAAATACGGTAACTTAAAATAAAACTTCAATGGATTTTTATTGTATCAATTAAAGCTATAAATTATATCATAAATGTTAAGTCTCTACATAAATTAACTTATTCTTCAGGATATGGTGAATAACATTTTATCAATAGATGATTAATTGGTTACCAATAATTTATTACTGAACAATTACTGTTAGTGCCTCCATCTAAATTTACTGCAGCATAAAGATAACTAACAGGAAGCTAGTTGTCCCAGCAGCTCCTGGAACAAAGGCTAATGTTTTGTTGTATTGATCCAGTTAATTGCACAGTTGCAGCGGCTGGCCCCTGGTGTGCAGGGATTCAAATGGAAGCCCTCCAACCTGGTATGTACACACAAATATAGACATATACACATAACTGGAACCTCTGTGCATTACATCGTCTCTTTTCTTGCTACATCAGCCCTTGTCCATTTGAAAGAGAGCATGTGTCCCTGTGTGTGGCCATGTAATGAGCCTGACCCTGAGGAGCTGAGTGCCTTCACAGATCTGTATGGTTCCCTCAGATTGCTTCTATCTTTTCAGGTAGAAAAACAACTCAGATGAATTCTGAAATGCACTTTTCTTGTTTTTCAGTCGTAACACAAGTAGTGTGAGTCTCATGTTTTTTTAAAATAACTTGCAATGTACAGGTAAAAGACACAAGACACTGCACTTCAGAGTGGCAAGCCCATCTAGAGGCATTCCTGCGCACATTCACTTTGGCTAATGCCGGGGTATGAACAGATCTGTTTCCCCATCTCGAGTTACATGTTAAGCTTCAAGCAAAAAAAGTTTACATGTTTCTTATTTTTCATAGATACAAATCCACCTCAAACTCAAAATCAACCAGGAGGCCTCGCTGCAGGAATTTAGGTACGAGTGCATCGATGTATATCATAGCTTCTGTTTTTGAAAGCCTCCCTCTTGTTAGAGCATCTCACAGTTAATGACTTTGCTTTTGGTTCATTAAGGATCTCACTTCATAAACAGAATTTAGCTAATTATTTTTGAGTAAGTTTAAAAAGTAACTGCAATATAAAAAAGTTGAAGCAAAAGAGTATTGCCGTAGATCATTGTAACTGCCTCGAGTGGTTTGTCTTGGAGTAAAAACATAAAAACAAGACAAAGGGCTGACTGTGCTAAACCCTCTTGAGTGGAGTCTGGATTGTAAATTAAAAAGGAATGGAAATATCCGTCTCTGTTTTATGAACTGCTGACATAGTCATCTTGCGTTCTTGCAGTGTCAAGGTCAAGAGAAGAGTTGCACTGGCAGACCAACTGTTACTGACCCTGGACGTCACCTGTTCTGTACCGTCAGTAATGCCGCTTTTAAAGGTTTGACCGGAATAAGTGCCTTCTATTGATCCGTCTGATTTTCTCTTCTCCCCTTGAATTTAAAGGCCTCCGTGCTGTGTGAAGAAAGGGTGCTGGTGTGTGAGAGGACACCCTGCTATAGGAGGCAGGGTGCCACTCAGCATCCCACCACAAACCATGGAGCAGGGCCTCTTTGGGGATCTGAGTGTTCAGGTGGTTACACTCCTGACCCCCTGTCTGCTGCCATATCCCAATGTGGCAACAGAACTTACTCACATACAAATATCCTTTTCATGTTTTATCATACATCTGTACCACACAGTCTCATTTCCTGTCATGGTAGGCAAAGGAATTGAAAAGAAGGAAATTCAGACTAGGGCCTGACTCATTTCAGGGGTATTTGGGCATCTGATTTGGATTAGTCTTCCTTGACATGTTTCCATGTGTTGGTATACAACCCCAGTAACATTCCTGTCACTGGGCCCTCTGGCTTCTTTCAAAAACTTCCTGCTGTTCTGGACTGTCAAGAGCTGGGACTATATAGACTTTACTGCTCTTCTTTCAAAGGTAATCACTGATGGGAACAGCATGTTCTGATGTTCAGGGTGTATTTTAATTCTTTTTGCTGAGAGGTTTGATTTCCCAATAAAAAGAGTGTAAAACGAACCTGATGTAGGTCCAAAGTCCGGAACAGTTAATCCTGTCCTTACAGGACATTAAGACATTGAAACAATTAGAACTTGGATTTGTTACCTTTGTTGAAGAAAACTAATTTCAACCACCTGCGTGGGTTTATGAGAGAATGAGCCCAAGCCTGAGGCTGCTAATTAAGACTTTTATGGATCTCATAAGCCCAACATTTGAATGGGAAAGGCAAAACCAAACAGAACAATGGACGCAGAACATATAACATAAACAAAAGCATTAAGCACTAAAAGAAAATGGACTCTAGAATTTACTTTCTGTCACAACACAGTGGTTGTCCCTGCACTCTAAAAACCTGCCTCATGAGAATGGGGTTCATCTGCAACTAATTTGCACTTGACATTTATTTCCAATACAAGATTTAGTGCTTCAGTCACGCTCATAGCAGCGACTCCAGTTGTGGATAAAGGGTTTGACCTAACTGTCTGTCTTACCCATGAATTACTGTGCTTTTCTTAAAGTAATATACTTAAAAGTTTGTTTGTTTGTGTTTTCAGAAGGATTTACATAATTTTTCATGCTAATAGCTTTTGGGATGAGCAGTGTTTCATTTTTGTTTCATTGATATTGTCACAGTGACAGTGCAAAAAGCATGTGGAATGTGAACTGTGTGCAACGTGCAGACTGAATGTTTGACTTGATGGCAGTGCCAGATAAAAAGATAGGACAACCAGAGTTGCTGCAAATCTATCAGGACCTGTTTTGTTGCAAAATATTCAGCAGTTGACAAGACACATCCACAAGACCGCCAGTGCCATGCAAGGAAAAGTCTGTCCCATCAGAGTTACAAAAAGCTTTTAGTAACATCCCCTGCAATTAAACCCATCAAGTTTTTCGGGTTTAAATTTGGACCAAACTGATGGACATACAGACAGCAGCATTATAGTTTCCCAAAATGTATTTTGCAAATTAGTTCTATATGGCATATTTGAACAGATAAGATCATTTGACTCGCAGAGTAATAGTCTTATAAATATTATATGGTTTCTCCTGTCAATGAGTACCTAACAAGCAGGACGCTCTTCTCTAAAAAAGACCAAACTGTCTTCTTGTGTCCAGACAGCAGTCCAGTAAAATGAGCCTAATTTAAGTCTTTATTAACCATTTACTCCTCCTTGAATCGCTACCTTATCGTGGTGGAGGGGTTTGTGTGTCACAGGGATCCCAGGGGCTATGTTGTCTGGGGGCTTTTGCCCCCTGGTAGGGTCTCCCATGGCAAATTGGCCCTGGGTGAGGGACCAGACAAAGAGCGATTCATAAGACCCTTATGAAAAGGAAACCGAGGGAACAGTTTACCCTGCCCGGGATAGGGTTACCGGGGCCTCGCCCTGGAGCCAGGCCCGGGGAGGGTGCCCGAGGGCGAGCGTCTGGTGGCCGGGCCTTAGTCCATGGGGCCCGGCCGGGCACAGCCCGAAGAGGAGACATGGGCCCATCCTCCCGCAGGCCCACCACCCGCAGGAGGCGCCATAGGGGTCGGGTGCATTGTGTGCCGGGTGGCGGCCAGGAGCGGAGGCCCTGGCGGACTGACCCCCGGCTGCCAAGACTGGCAATAGGGACATGGAATGTCACCTCTCTGGTGGGGAAGGAGCCTGAGTTAGTGCGTGAGGTTGAGAGGTACCGGCTAGATATAGTTGGGCTCACCTCTACGCATGGCTTGGGCTCTGGAACCAGTCTCCTGGAGAGGGGCTGGACTCTGTCTCAGTCTGGAGTTGCCCTTGGTGAGAGGCGGCGGGCTGGGGTGGGTATCCTAATATCCCCTCGGCTTGCTGCCGGTACGTTGTGGACGAGAGGGTTTGTTCCCTGCGCCTTAGGGTCAGGGAACGGGTCCTGACTGTCATCTGCGCTTATGCGCTGAGTGGCAGTTCAGAGTACCCAGCCTTCTTAGAATCCCTGGGGGGTGGTGCTGGAGGGTGCTCCACCTGGAGACTCTGTTGTCCTGCTGGGAGACTTCAATGCTCACGTGGGTAACGACAGCGAGACCTGGAGGGGCGTGATTGGGAGGAACGGCCTCCCTGATCTGAACCCGAGCGGTGCTCTGTTACTGGACTTCTGTGCTAATCACAGTTTGGCCATAACGAACACCCTGTTCGAACATAAGAGTGTCCATAAGTGCACGTGGCACCAGGACGCTCTAGGCCGTAGGTCGATGATCGATTTTGTAATCGTATCAGCAGACCTGCGACCATATGTTCTGGACACTCGGGTAAAGAGAGGGGCTGAGCTGTCAACTGATCACCACCTGGTGGTGAGTTGGATCAGGTGGCGGGGGAAGACGCTGGACAGACCTGGTGCACCTAAACGCGTAGTGAGGGTGTGCTGGGAACGTCTAGCAGAGGCCCCAGTCCGCGAGATCTTCAACGCACACCTCCGGCAGAGCTTCAACAGCATTCCGAGGGAGACTGGGGACATTGAGTCCGAATGGACCATGTTCAGCGTCTCCATTGCCGAAGCTGCTGCATTGAGCTGCGGCCGCAAGGTGGTTGGTGCCTGCCGTGGTGGTAATCCCCGAACCAAATGGTGGACACCAGAGGTGAAGGGAACCACTAGGCTGAAGAAGGAGTCCTATCGGGCTTGGTTAGCCTGTGGGACTCCGGAGGCAGCCGACAGGTATCGACAGGCCAAGCGGAATGCGGCTCGGGCAGTGGCTGAAGCAAAAACTCGGGTGTGGGAGGAGTTCGGAGAGGCGATGGAAAAAGACTTTCGGACTGCCTCGAAGAGATTCTGGCAAACCGTCAGACGTCTCAGGAGGGGAAAGCGGTGCTCTACCTGCACTGTGTATAGTGCTGGCGGAGCGCTGCTGACGTCGACTGAGAAAATTGTCAGGCGGTGGAAGGAATACTTCGAGGACCTCCTTAATCCCACTGACACGTCTTCCGAGGAGGAAGCAGAGTCTGGGGATGAGGGGAATGACCCGCCAATTTCCGGGGGCGAGGTCACTGAGGCAGTTAAACAACTCCTTGGTGGCAGAGCCCCTGGTGTTGATGAGATCCGCCCCGAGTTCCTGAAGGCTCTGGACGTTGTAGGGCTGTCCTGGTTGACACGCCTCTGCAATGTTGCGTGGAGATCAGGGGCAGTACCTGTGGACTGGCAGACCGGGGTGGTGGTCCCCATCTTTAAGAAAGGGGACCGGAGGGTGTGTTCCAACTACAGGGGGATCACACTCCTCAGCCTCCCTGGGAAAGTCTATGCCAGGGTGCTGGAAAGGAGAGTTCGTCCGTTAGTCGAACCTCGGATACAGGAGGAACAATGCGGTTTTCGTCCTGGTCGCTGAACACTGGACCAGCTCTTTATCCTCTCCAGGATACTTGAGGGTGCATGGGAGTTTGCCCAACCAGTCTACATGTGTTTTGTGGACTTGGAGAAGGCATTCGACCGTGTCCCTCGGGGTGTCCTGTGGGAGGTGTTGCGGGAATATGGGGTGTCTGGCCCATTGCTACGGGCCATTCGATCCCTATACAACCGTTGCAAGAGCTTGGTTCGCATTGCCGGCAATAAGTCGGACTCGTTCCCGGTGGATGAGGGGCTCCGCCAGGGCTGCCCTTTGTCTCCGGTTCTGTTCATAATTTTTATGGACAGGATTTCTAGGCGCAGCCAAGTGGCGGAGGGCTTTCGCTTTGGTGGCCTCAGAATCTCATCTCTGATTTTTGCAGATGATGTGGTTCTGTTGGCTTCATAGGGTGAGGGCCTCCAGCTCACACTGGAACGGTTCGCAGCGGGAATGAGGATCAGCACCTCCAAATCTGAGGCCATGGTTCTCAGCCGGAAAAGGGTGGAGTGCCCACTCCGGGTCGGGGATGAGTTCCTGCCCCAAGTGGAGGAGTTCAAGTATCTCGGGGTCTTGTTCGCGAGTGATGGGAGAAGGGAGCCGGAGATCGACAGACGGATTGGGGCTGCAGCTGCAGTAATGCGGACGCTGCACCGGTCCGTCGTGGTGAAGAGGGAGCTGAGTGTAAAAGCGAGGCTCTCAATTTACCGGTCGATCTACGTCCCTACCCTCACCTATGGCCACGAGCTGTGGGTAGTGACCGAAAGAACGAGATCGCAGATACAAGCGGCAGAAATGAGCTTCCTCCGAAGGGTGGCTGGCCTCTCCCTTAGAGATAGGGTGAGAAGTTCGGCCATCCGGGAGGGGCTCAGAGTAGAGCAGCTTCTGCTCCACATCGAAAGGAGCCAGCTGAGGTGGTTCGGGCATCTGACAAGGATGCCCCCTGGGCGCCTCCTGGGTGAGGTGTTCCAGGCATGTCCCACCGGGAGGAGGCCCCGGGGCAGACCCAGGACACGCTGGAGAGATTATATCTCTCGGCTGGCCTGGGAACGCCTTGGTATTCCCCCGGATAAGCTGGAGGAGGTGGCTGGGGAGAGGGAGGTCTGGGCCTCTTTGCTTAGGCTGCTGCCCCCGCGACCCGGCCCCGGACAAAGCGGATGAGGATGGATGGATGGATTAACCATTTAGTCATTTAGATTTTATTTTAAGCAGTAGTAGCAGGTATTTAAAACCTTACCCTAAAGAGAGCTATCAAAAAGAAACACATTAGTCTGGAAGCTACATTTTAAAAAGACTTAACAGTCGCTGTTTTGCACACAAGGCAGACTGGAGCAGTGTGATTAAACGCACTCATGTGGTGATAACAGTCAAAAGGCGGCCCTTTTATCAGAAACTGCTCTTTCACAATAAGTGTCTCCCCCTGTGTATACAATAAATCATAACTACAAACAAAACCGACAGTCTGTATTAATCAGCAGTAGTCTATCCATTCACATTTACACAATGAAACCTGAAAACGCCCCGTAATCTATTCTGCTTCACACTGTCTCTGACTATTTCCATCTTCCATCAACATTTATCTTATTTAAGAAGTTTGATTTGGGATGAAAAGAAACACGTTTGACACGCTATTTTTTAATGCTGACATAAAAGGCTGCAATAAATAAATAAATGCCCTGCCCAACCCAGAGGTGTGTCTTTAATTGCCAGCATGCTAGATACATGTTATGCTGGTTGTAACCCATGTGTGGCTTCATGCGAACACTGTTTTCTTCTTAAAATTCTTATCTCAAGTAACTCCCACTGTATCCATCTTATTATTTTCTTTACTTTGGCATAAATGTTTCAACATCCCCTGCAGATCTTGTGTATAGCGGCGGTACTGTGTACACAGTAGAGAAAGACAGCTGGGATGATCCAGAGCAGGAATCAAGTCTTCCCACAGTGCAGCAGAGTCTCCTGCTTTTCTTCTTCTTACAGCATAGTGACCCCTTCACCTCCCAGCTCACTGATCTTATGGGTGAGGAACCGCAGCGGCATGTACAGTCACAAAACCCTACACTGTAGACAGCCTGCCTTTCAGTTTTCCAATCCAAACATGCAAATTGTTGATCATTCAGCCACCGAGATGTTGATAGAGCTCCACCTGGAGGACATTCTGAACAACAACAGGCAGGCCCTCGTAGCAGACGTGCAGACTGAGCTGAGGAACACACTGAAATCACAAAATCACAGAAAAAAGGCATGACAAAGACATACACGCACATGCACAAACACACTAAGTGTCCTACTTCTTTTACTTAAGAGTTTTTAGTCCTGTAATGATAACTATTGCAGTCCATTATCAGAAAATGAATCAGCAACAGTTTTGATCATTGACAGCTTTTCTCTCTTTTCACTAACTATGGATTGAATTGGTTATGCAATTAAGCATTACCCTATACTCGGGTAGATTGTGATGGTTGTTTTACATTCATTTCTAACAGTTATTGACACCAGAAAAAAAAGTAATTATGTATGTTTGTGTGTATCCTTAAGCAACAAGAGAAGCTGCATGCAGCTGCTGAGGTGATTCTCGGTTCGTCCATGAGTATCGTGAGCAGCAGCAGTAGCATGGACTTCAGAAATGCCTGTCTGAACCGCATGAAGGTGTGGAAAAACTGCTTGTCTCATGGTGTGAAGCAGAACCTGAATACTGTATTCAGAGGCGTTGACAACATGTTAGGTTTGTGTTTGTCAGGTACATGACACACATGAGTTGGCAGCCTCGCTCCGTGAATCACTGTGGAGAGTGACATCGTGGAAATTCGTTCCCAAGGCAAAGTGCTTTTCTACTAAGGTGAGTGAGACGCTTTGTTTCCGCCAGCACCACCCAGTTCCTATAGCAGCTCCTCATTACCACTGTACCTCTTACACTGAACCACAATTTGATGCAATGTCATTGTTTTAACAGATGGAAGTACATCCTGAAAACGATGAGCCCACCACAGCAGAAATCTGAGAATCTCTGTGTTTATCTTAAGAGTTCTGTTATGGTTAAAGGCTGCGGAGGCAGCAGAAGAAGGGTTTGAATGTGTTTAAAAAATTTAAAGTGCTGCCAAAAGCAACATCTGTTTAACCCATAATTTATAAGTACAGTTGTTGTTATAACTTGGTTGCACTGGTTTATTTTTGTAATAATATTCCAAATTGATCTCAGTTTTTTTCTTATCAATGGTTATACCCATAGAAAAATGTCTGTACCATATATCTATTTAGGATGTGAGGTGAAAGAGCCTCTCTTTTTACCTACATCACCATGGTAACCTGGAAAAAAAGCCGTAAAATCAGAGGCAGTGATACCTTTGTATTCGTCACAGATAGCCAGAAGAATGCCCATGAGATCTTTGATGAGTATCTGTTGTTGAGATATCTCCCTAAACTGACAAGACTGAACCCTGAAATAGCCCCAGTTCAGATACTCTTCCGTGAAACATTGGCATTCATCACCAAGAACTGTGCAATCAATACAATCAATTTCACTTTGATCTGGTGGCAAACAAAAGTGATTTTCACATCTTTTGGCTATGCGCCAGTACGTTTGAATATTTAAAATTTGTAAAATGTAAAGTTTCAGAGCTCTAACATGCATCCATCCTATTAGAAATAAACAACAGCATTAAAATAATTAACTTGAGTTCAAATGTTTATTTTACCACTTTGTGTGCTAAATGCAAGATTAAAAATTATCTGTTGAATTAATTTCCTGTCTTATTTCTAATAGTTTTGAATTTTACTTGTATTCTTTATAGAATTTGGTCACTATATTATCATTATCTGATATCATAGTCATATGAGCAACCTCAACAAGTAATACAATTTGAAATATTTTCTAAATTTGAAAAAACAACACATTAATGATCATATAATTAAGGTAAGGCTATACATCGGTAAGGATGCAATTTTGTGCATTCTTATCTGATGTATGCAGTTGTTTAGACCGCATTTGTTTCTAGAGTGCAAATGAGTCTTAATAGATATAAAAACAGACAATAGGTGTTATTGCAAAAATGAGTCTGTTTTGTGTAACCTGTTATTGCGTATCGTAACAAGTTCCTAATGTGTGGGTATGTGTGCATGGACAAAAAAATGTTAGTGTGTAGCAGTGTTTATGGGTGTGACAGGTTGTTGTTTTTGCACTGATGATGCACTTTGTAAGGTGAGGGGGTAAAAAGTCCATGGGTTTAAAGAGTCGTTTTTGATACTGGTAGCCCTGTTCCTGCATCTGCTGATGTACATATCTTCAATCACTGACGGGCTGCTGCTGCTGATCTTCTGCAAGGACACAACTGCCCACTCCAGAGACTTTCTGCCAGCAGCAGAGCAGTATCATTAACACACACTGCACACCTGTAAAAAGATCTGAGAATTGTGTTACCCAGACCAGTGCTATCCAATAGTTAAACACACATATGTTATCCAGTGATTCCCAGACAACCATGGAGCAGACAACCAGATGATTAAATAAGTATAAATAGATAGTTTGTTGCCACTTGTCTGACCATTATTCAGATAGAATTCTTGCGTCCTTTGCTTTTAATTGTTATTGGATGATTAAACTGTGGGGCGTTTGCGTTTTTCTGCTTCTGAAGTGGGACACTGAAAAAGTTTGAAAAAAATCTAAGTTACCAGGACAGGCTTTTATTTTTGTGGGACCGCCAACTTCCGTTTATTACTGTTACGAATGTGACGTACATTCCGGCCGCCAACACGAACAGCGCTTTTTCGCGGTAAAATGAAACAGGCATCAGGTTGACCATTATTATTTAGTTTCTGCTGTCTAACAGCGATCTGCCTGTAGGTAGTATTTAGAAGCCGTGTAGTTAAAACAAAACTAGGGTCGGCGGCATTGTCGCGAAGTAAGAGTAAAGCTAACGTTAGCAGCTATCATCACAACATTGGAGCTTTTGACGTTTTCCACAACGTAGTAACTGTGTATCATAAAACCATGTCGCTAGTAACTACAGAGAGCTTAAAGACTGAGCTGGAAATATTCGATATACCCTATCAAGATGATTCCGTCCTCGACAAAAGTAAGTTGCTAACTAAGATGACCGTTTTTCTCATATGGATTGAAGCTTTACACGGGAGAGTGTGTTAGCAAAGAAGCTAAGTGCATTGTCACTGTAATCATCGAGGACTCTACCGTACCCAGGATAGCAGTAATGTAGTGTTGTGACATGTTTAAGCTGTTGTCATCAGTCATAATATTTATATACCCATGTGCATGCGATTTTGTTAGTTAAAGCTTTTGACTAAAATAGCATTTTTCTTCTTGATAACTTACTTTCACAAGTCAAGTAAATTAGAAATCTGCTTTTTTTGTTTTGATTTCATTGATACGTCTTTTATAATTACTAAGCCATTTTTAAAGATCAGGAACAGTAATTATTCACTGCAAGTTGTGTCCCACAAAATTAATTCACATTGTACTTGCATCTAATATTTTCTCAGACACTCAGATTAAATCCTAGGTTGTTTTCCCTCATATCTCCTCCATTTCAGTGGTGGAGCAGTGTATTTGTAACAGACTGCAGGCACAAGAGATACTGCATGAGTGGGTTGCCTATAGCGCCACAAAACAAGGCGTGAAGCTCACCACGGACACTCTGGAGCAGTTTGAACATGAGGTAACAGGACCACAGATTTTAATATGCATTACAAATTACTTATTAAATATGCAACAACTTAGTCATTCTCTGCTCCTTATAAATGCAGCATGTTTGTCATCTTACAGGTTTTGAACAAGAGGATCAAATCCAGAAAAACCTCCCGAAAGGAAGAAGCAGCCAGTAGAATGAGAGACATTAGCATGATTGATGATTTGTATCCTTCACACTGATGCTTGAGCATAAAGACCCGTCTATCTGCACTGCCTGGAGTCACGTGTTTTCTTTGATTTGTGTCTGCTAATGTTGCTGTTGAGTCATAGACTTTGACAAAATGAATCAGAATAAAAGCTGAGGAAGAGGAGGAGGATCTCTTAGATTCTTACTCTACTCCTGCTAAGGTAACCAAACACTTCTTGCTTGTCAGCAGCAGAGCGTTATCTAATCTGAACAAAAGAAATAAAGTTTCGTAACTTTTAAAAAAATTTTTTATCCATTTATGCTTTAGGTTTTTTTTGTTGATCTGCCTTTAAAAGCTAAGATAAGCTAGATGTAACTCGTGGGTCTCCCGCAGAGTGAGTTTGAGTCTATGTAGACAGACAAGATCCTAACTGTGTTTGTTCCTGTCGATACAGGGCTCTCAGAAACGACCTCTGACGACACCAGAGCGTCCTCATTCAAAGAGAACTGCAGCTCTGATGGCCAGCCCGAGCATACTGCTGTCTCCAGCCAGCTTCTCTCCCAAGTACTCTCCACCCCATGCTGCTCTGATTATTTTTGAAAACGTGAAAATTATGCTCTCTGGTTGTGTTAAAGTTTAAAAAGAAAGCTTTTTTTTTAAAGATAAACCTTTGTATTTGCATCACTGTCACTTTAAGTGACCTTCTCCCCTTATCTCTTTGGAAGTGCGACACCCTCACAGAAGTACAGCCAGCGGGGAGGAAAGGGAGAGGTGGTGGCCACGTTTGGGGCAGTGCAGGGCACCCGTTGGGTGGGCAGGAAAGATCCAGGTGCAGGTGTCCAAGTTGAGATATTGGAAGGACCGGAAGATTCCCTTAACAGCAGCTACAAATACATGTTCCAGAGGCTGCGAGATGTTCGAAACGGTACATAGCTGCACACACTTGATTAAAGATTTCCTGTATGTTTGGGTGTAAAATCACTAAATAAATATACCCCAGAACATTTGGATAATATTTTTTTTCTGGGTCTTTCCCAGTGTTGACAGAGAAGATTGAGGAGCTAGGAGAAGGACTCAGGACTCACTTCAGCATTGAGGAGTTCTCCCCCGTCTCTCTGCCTGCCCAGGTACAGAAGAGATGACACCTGTGGAAAACTTTTAAATTAAAGATTCATCCCCACTGCTTAAACAATAAATTATTAAATAATAGTACATTGCTATAAAATGTTACGTTACATCACTGAATTGTTTTCTCTTAAAATCATATATATTGAGGAGTAAAATCAAACCTGCTTATTTGTTTGATTAAAAGTTAACTTCTTTCTTGGGTTTGCGTCTTCTTCCCTCCAGGACAGTATAACTGTGCTAGGACAGATTTGCTGTGACAGTAATGGCAAACTGAATGCACAGTCAGTCCTGCTAGAGGCTGGACCAGAACAAGGCGGTCAGCAAGTACCTGTTGACCTATCGGAGCTTAAAGAGTATTCCCTTTTTCCTGGTCAGGTGAGCTGAATGAAATCGCTTACTTTGACAGATGAAACTAGAAATGGGTATGCCAGTGAGGTCCTTCCTAATGACCAGTCGGTGGTTTCTCCTTTGCCTGTGCACTGAGCTTATGTGCAGCAGGTTATATGGCCACCAAGAGTAACAGAGCATGCCAAGGACATGGGCTTGAGACTGACCCGGTGTCTGACCGAGAGCTCTGACAGTTTTTCCCCCTCATAAAAATAAACTTTCAGAATTATAGGAAACCTTTTATCAGCAGAAGCATGTAGCTTTGTTTTTGAAGCTCTTTCCAACAAACACACATGTAAGAAAACATTTATCTAAATGCTCCTGTTCTGTTTTTGTTTTTTTTAGGTAGTGGTGATGGAGGGTATGAACACTACAGGAAGAAAACTGGTGGCTTCCAAATTCTATGAGGTCGGTTCTAAGTTGTTGGCTTTAACACTTTTCGCCTGTTTGTGAAAACTCTTGTAACGTTGTTGTGCTTTTAGGCTGTTCCTCTGCCGTTCTACAGTTCTGACATGAAAATGGAGACAGATGAGGGTAAGATCTGTCTGATCAATTTTTCAGATTTAGCTTGAACTTAAAGCCATCTTCTTACACTCCACACTCTTCATTTGTTGCAGAGCCACTGAATGTACTGGTGGCCTGTGGACCGTACGCTCCCTCTGACAGTCTGACCTTTGACCCCCTGGTGGACTTAATCAATGTTATTGTCAGGGATCGTCCTGATGTCTGCCTGCTGGTACAGTCTCCCTTGTTGTTCCATCATAAAACAGACACTATCCATGACAGAATTTCCACTAAAGCTCACATACACACTGTCAGGAGTGTATCTATGAGGGAGACAGTCCTCCCATGACTCTGTGTTTTGTCTGGTTTTCCTATTTCTTGTTTCTCTTCCACAGCTGGGCCCATTTGTGGATTCCAAACATGAACAGATTGAGGTCAGTGGGACAGAGACCGTGTTTTTCTTGTTTTTGAGTGTGCACAGCGCAAGGGGGAACCTTTCGCGTGCATTTTTGCACAAGTCAAAATGCTTTAAAAGGGATATGTGTGTAGACAAAAACTAATAGGTATCACTTGCTGAATAAATCTTCTGTGTTATCCTTCAAGATATAACACTTAACCCACAAATAAGACGATTAGTTTCAGTGTTATTGGGTCTGGAAATAAAAAGCGTACCACTGGATTGACCACAATAACAGATCAATGAAACCGACAGGTGCAGTATAGCAATCACAGAAAGTTTTTTGTTTTTTTTCATCATAAAATACCGTCTACTCGTACACGTTTTGCATAGAAGGATCTAATTTGAGCTTCTATATCCAAATTTGCAGTGTGAATTCATTTTAATCAACA